AATTACATGTTAAAATATATTATTGCATCAAGATAGAGCAAACAATTTTTTTGTCAAAACCTATTTCTGTTAAAAGTTACTCAAGTTTTTCAAACTTGTATAACTTCCTTTCTTCTGCAGAATATAAGATATTTTAAATATTTGATTATTTATTTTATAATTATTAATTAATAATTACTAAATCATTAGTATTTATATGTAAATATTTGGAAAAAAAAATCAACTGAAATAAATACTTAATATATTTTTGTGAAATGTATATTATAAGGTTTTTCAGGTCAACACGCCCCCTAGTGATCATTGTGTTGTGCACTTATGAGCCACTGTAATCCTGGGACCATTTTAACCAGCATCTTTTTCATCTTTTTTTTAATAACCCAAATAAGACCCTGGAATCAACTCATTCTTGTTACGTAATGTTGTATGAGGTTAAACAAGCCTGAATGAAAAGAGATGCGCTAGCGTGTTGGCTTAGAGAATCAAAGAGTACGAACGGTTCATCCATTTGGGTTTAGCAGGTGAATGTTGTGGTGGATGGCAGCGATTCGAGACATCACACAGGATTACATATGAGGACACTGACTGTTAAAAGGGGTTGAAGACCAAGGATTAGGTTTTTCACACGTACAAGCTCAGGCTTTGGGTTAATTAGTTCAGGTATTGTAAGGTAAGCTGAAGGTGAGCTGAATGTGAACCTTCAAAGCCAACTGTGCGCTCAGAGTCCCATCAAGCAGTGTGTCAGCATGACAGCAGTTGCACTGGATCAGCAATGCGTGTCGCTCCACAGGTGTCAATTGTTTCTTGTCTTAATTAATGAACTTGTTGCTTTGGAGTCCTGGGAAGTAAGGATTAGAGGTCTGGAGGGCTAGATTTGGGAAGCTGTACCCTGATAGTAGCATGTGCTGTGAGAGGACAGCCAATAGAGATTTACGTCAGAGAGGACAACGGCACAGTGCTGGCTGACACATGGTTGTTCAGGGGGAAAGTGAAAAGTTTCATTAACGGACATGCTGGATTTATATGATGAAGGATTTTATTCATGCCAATGTTTCTATTCTTACTAATTATCCAGTAAATCAAACTTTTTAAAATAGGTGATGATCACATGATCATGACATGTAAGTTTGAGTTTAGATTTATCTAAAATAAATGTAAAAAAATTAAATTGAGAAATTATTATTGTTTACAAATGAGTTCCACAATGACAATCCACTCGCCTGGAAAAAAACAATAACACAAGTAAAAAAGTCACATAGACTTACAAAGGAAGAGGGACCCAGACAATATCTAGAGACTGAAATATCAGACTGAAGTTAAAAAATTAAATAAAATAACCACATAACAACAAATTAAAAACTCCTCAGAACATCTTAGAAAGGCCAAAGCATACTTCAGTGTTGGTACAAACCGTAGCATGTGTTTCACAGAACGCACAGCACTTAAAACTGTCCTCCATAGAGTGCTGCAGTAATGACATACTGTATTTATAATTTCTTCATGAAACTATAGATGCCAATAAAGAAGCTTTATTTTTAAGTGTGTTGATAGTGTACTCAAACACAGATGGTTGACACATGCTGGAAAGTTTATTTTTTGTCCAGTATCTGCACTATTTCTTTCCTGAGGGTATTAACAATAAAAATGTATTCACACTTGAAAAAATAGAGTTAGAAAAATAGAAAATAGAGTTGCGAGTATCTCTTAACCGCCTCACACAAGCACTCATCAACACAGGCGTATTTTGTCTTTGCATTTCCAGTACTTTGTTGTTGGAGTTTTTCCGTTGCATCCATTTCTTTTTAGACTGTGAAACCATAATATCAGCCAATTAGTGCAAGATAGTTCACATATTATGCTGATAATTACATTTATGACATGCAAATGTACACATAAAACCGAAGTATACATTGAGCTTAACATTGTGACAGTGAGTACTGCATGGATGAGCACCACTTTTGTTCAGAAAAAAATCGATTTAATTTATAATAGTAAGAATTTATTTATTTATTTATTTATTTATTTATTTATTTATTTATGTTGTTAAATATATCAACCCTACACATGAACAAATGTGTATGTTTTATAATATGCACAATTTGTGAGCAATTTTGAAAAAGTTTTCAAAGTTCCAAAGTTTTGCCATTTAATAGTTGAGGAAAAGTGTTTATTATGAAAGTTTGAGTCATTTAACACTGTTCATGCATTTCAAAATAAGACCATTTTAATCTAAATCTAGATGCTCAATTAAATAAACTTGCAATATGTGCATCTAAAATTGCTCTTGTGTGTTTTTTTCCCAGATCGGCCCAAGATCCGCCTGCCCCGTGCCCTGAGATCAAGATCCGTCAAGCATGTTGGGGAACAGATCAATCTTGTCATCCCATTCGTTGTAAGTTCAGATTTTTATATGGCAAACAGAGCTGTGCTTCCATTGCAGGCTTTAATATGTTCCATAATTCTCTGTTTTGTAGGGCAAACCAAAACCTGTGATATCATGGACCAAGGATGGCCAGCCTTTGGATACGAAGAAGGTAAACATCCGCAACAGCGACAAGGATAGCATCCTGTTCATCCGCAAGTCTGAGAGAGAAGACTCGGGCAGCTATGAGATGACAGTGAAGGTCGACAGCTTCGAAGACAAGGCTAACCTCATAATTCAGATCGTCGGTGAGACGTGCTATGATCTTGAGACCGTTCATTTCAGCGCTCTTCTTGGACCTTGTCTATTTATGTTACACTTGCATTTTCATTCGTTGACACCTCTGTTTACTGAGTAGGCCCTCACGGTCAATGATCCATACTAAGAAAGCTAAATAATTTTTAATGCTCGGCTGTCTGTGTGTAGATCTGCCTGGTCCTCCTGCCTCTATCAAGCTAGTGGACTCTTGGGGCTTCAATGCAGCTCTGGAATGGACCGCTCCCAAAGACAACGGCAACACTGAGATCACTGGATACACCATTCAGAAGGCCGACAAGAAAACTGAAGTAAGTGACTCATAATGGGCACATTAATGCAGCCAGTAACACAAGAAATATGTGTCAGCACTTCGTCTATCAGTTCCTCTCTCAAAAAATGAACAGTACTTCCCATTTTATCTAAGGAACAGTGTTATTTGGGGGTGAAGAAAATTGCATACTGTATATGACACACTGGTAACTAAAATAAAATGAGCATCGCGTGAAATGTAACCTCAGTGCAACTTATAACATCCAAGTGAAAGATATAACACCAAAATGTCAGAAAATAAATAAATATATAAAATAAGAGAATCACTGAGTTGGAAAAAGGATCACCCCCCTCCTAAAAATGACTTGTAAACTCAATCCGGTGTAGCTAATCACCTTCTCAATGGCACACAAAGCCATTTGACTTTCAACTGTGATCCGCTGTGCTCATTTTGATCAACTCAGTGGAACATGAAACTTTTAGCATGAGTTTCTTGTTATCAAAAAGGAGAATTGGAAAAAAAAAAATAAAATAATAATATATA